CTGCTTAATAGCATTTGTTTCCATCATAGGCTTTTATTTCCTTTATTTCCAGCTATTATGGATGCTTTCAACAGTATTTTATATTATTAAATAGAATTTTAAATGAACATTTAGATTTTAGTAAGATTACTTTATAATAATTACCCTTTCTTTATAGATTGCTGCTTTTGTCTCAGAATGTTTTTCATGATTGCTACATTTAACATACTTGTCTGTCTGAGATAAAATTGCAATTTTAATGTGATATCGTGAGTAATTTCACCTAGAGATTTCATCAAAGTTAATTCTATATAACCATTACTGGTAAATGAAGAGTTTTTAGGAAGCAGTTTCTGTAATGAAATTTCAAACATTTTGAACATTTGTATGACCTTTTGAGTTGTAGTTAATATCAAGGACACATTGTTTCAAAACTTGCCAGCTGTGTAATACTTTAATTTAGGTTTTTAAGTAAAATTGTTGCTCAGTTAAAGGAAAGCAAGTATTATGTCGAGCTTTTAATAATTGTGTGGAGTAGAGAATTTTATGTTCTATCTATAGGCTGGATGAAATAATGCTTGACTAGTTGAATAAATACACAAGAATAAATTATATTTAGACCACGAAAATTGTTACTTTATTTTTAGCTTGGTGCTCTAAAGCTGTTTGCATTGCATATTTGAATATATTTCAGTATACGCATGGTAACAGTCATTTCTATTTTGCGACTTCAGTGGCCTGGGAGGAAAAAAATAATTGGCCCCAGTGGTTATTATTACTAGATTTTTTTATGCCTGAAATCTAGGCATATGTCTTTGATCTGTTGGAATAAAAATATTAAAAATAATCTGTGGTCGATTTCATGTAATCTGATTAATTAATCTTGCAGTATAAACTGGGTACTCTGAGCATTTGTAGTGTATATATGTATATACACTAATATATATGTATCTGTATATATAGCCTGGGAGACTGAAGTTTCTTTTCAGTGTTCTTGTTAAGTAAATGATGATGGAAAATTTCAAAATTTTTAATGGAAAGCGATGTCCCATTTCACTCTTTTCTTTTTGATTTTAGATGGGAAATGTAAAGTCATAAGATCGATAGGTTGACTGTGACAACTATGTTTACTTACAGAGAGAACAGGAAATGAGAATGGGTGATATGGGTCCCCGTGGAGCAATAAACATGGGAGGTAGGGATTTGAAGCAAAAGGCTTCTGTAACTTCCTTGTAATTCTTTGGGGGACTGTATATGCTGTTTGTGGTATCTGCATATCGGTAAGAAAGTAAAATATGAAACCAATACTTGTAAAGGTGAAATCTCTTACCTTTATTAAATTGAAATAAAACACAATTATATTAAAAATACATGTCCAAAAAGAAAATTTTTATTTTGTTTTTTTGAAGGCTAAAAGATATGTTATACTTTGATAGGTTTAATGAAAGAAATTTATAAACCAGATTTTGGTAACAGCCTGAAACTGCTTTAGTCATTGCATGGTGTAATACAATTCTGTTGTGCTTTTAAAATCAGGTTTCATACCTTCAAATTGGCTTTCTTCCCCTTGGAAATAGTTTTGAGTTGTGTTTTTAAACGTTTTTAGAGCATTTTATAGATTTCTATTTTAAACTAGATTTTTGTGTAACTTTGAAGCTGTTAATCACTTCACTAAATATCTAACATTTTCCCCTTAACTGCAGTATTGTGCACAGAAGTACACCATTTGGGGACCTCTGTGATTTGTTAAGGAAATGAGATGTGTCTTGCTAATGCATATCTTTAGAATTGATGTAAAGTTTTTAGGAAAGTACCTACATTAGCTACTTTAATATCGATTGACATATATAACCAGATTGTTAGGGAAGTAGTACCAAGTAAATATACTGAGGGAAAAATAAGTGTAGAGTATCATAGGTCTTATTAACATTGAAATTTGTATAACCATACATTTAAATATTGGATAATTAATTAAATTGTGCATATATTTCACATTAAGTTGCCTCATGAAAGCTGTCATGAAGTTAAAAATCTTTATATGACTCAAATGTATATAGTGTTTTAAAGATTGCATTACCGTAGCATCCAATATACCTAACGTGAACACATTTACAAAAATCCAGTACGTTCTTAGAATATATAGTGTTTAAAATGAAACTGAAAACGTGTAATATGTAGAATGAGCAATTTTTCCATGATTAGCTCATTTTTGGAAAAAACCTCTGATGCTGGCCGGGCGCGGTGGCTCACGCCTGTAATCCTAGCTCTCTGGGAGGCCGAGGCGGGCGGATTATTTGAGCTCAGGAGTTCGAGACCAGCCTGAGCAAGGGCGAGACCCCGTCTCTACTAAAATTAGAAAGAAATTAATTGGACAACTAAAAATATATA